TGTGTAAATGGTAAATAATATTAACTAATGAATCCTCGCAGCCCTCACGTGAAGTTTAGAAGCAAATATTTGCTTAAAAATCTCTCCAAACCCCCTGTGTGCAGCTACTGCTCCCCTGATCCCCCGGAGAAGATAAACACTCCTCAGCTCTGTCAGCAAGGGTTAAATCTCTCCGCTGCCAGCCCCAGGTGCCCGGGATGGATGGATTTCAGGGAGGGAGCCGAGTGGAGCCAGCGCTTCCCGCGGAACAGCCGCACTCTCTGGAGCCCCATTTGTGAAGTGATACAGCTGACAGGGGAATAAAAGCCCGTCTCATCTCGGAAAGCAATAACAATAACACTGCCTCCATTTATAGCTTATGTCACACTTTTCATCCAAAGCCCTTACAGCACTTTATGTTTTAAAAAAGCATCGTCACCGTGCCTGTGGATGCTTTCCCCAAATCTGTGGGTCAAACCTGCTGGAGCAGCTCCCTCAGCCCTGTCCTCCTAAAAAGCACAGTCTGTGACCTGAGGGAAGGCTCCCTCCAAGCACTTCTGAGGATGTTTGGTGCTATAGCCAGGATGCTGCCAAGAAATCTACACTCCAAATGACCAAATTAGGCAATTATTTCTATATAGTTTAACTACTCTTTTCTCAAAACTGCCTGGGGATGTATTTTTAAATGCACATGACCTTGCTTGACTTGAGGGAGATGGCGATAAACAAATAATTGCAGTGACTTAATTATATTTATATCTCATCTATAAAAATGTCAATTATAACTTCAGAGATCAGCTCCAGAACTGAGGTTTTGGCAGCCGGACAGAACACAAAAGGCTGTTTTTCTCCTCAGAAAAGCCTCCTCCTTCGCCAAGGCACAGCCAATACCTCTCTAACAGTTTCACTCCTGGCTCTCCCAAGATTCAGAACCATTATGCCAACTGCTTCCACCCGGACAATTACTTCCACGCACTGAAATCTGCTGGATGGACACGGCACAGACACGGAGCTCGAGCCTCACCTTCCTCCCCGAGAGCAGAGCCCATGGCAGGGCTGGGGGAGCCCTTGTGCTCCGGGGGGTGCTTTGGGTGGGATGGGGGGCACAGAGCCTGAGCTCTGTGGGTTTAGATGAACCCCCAGCCTTGGGCACAGCAGTGTCCACGATGCCACACGAGGGTACCAGCAGCATGCCGGTGCCCCCCCTGCAGCCTGGGAGCCAAAGGGATGCTCACCCACCCTCCAGCCCCAGGCACACCCAGGTGCCACCCTGGGCACCCTCCTGCCAAGCACAGGGAGCAGGGAGAGCTCTGCAACTGCTGCAAAAGCCCGAGTGACCGCAGAGCCCTGCCGCAATCCGCGTCCGTCCCGGGGGATGTTTTAACCCCTAACACCTAGGATGTGTCTGTACCCAGCAGACAGCCTGCCTGGTGTTAATTTTGTTTAGTTTTGAGATTAAAGGAGTCCAAATCACACGTTGTCACTTCCCTCCTCTCTCTGCTGCCATCCGTAACTGTGCAAGAGGGTTAATTGATGTGAAAATAACTCTGGGGGCTGGACGGCTTTGAAAAACATATAGTATTACACTCAATACCTGCAATTACAGCTTGGGGGGTTCACTCACTCAGAATCTTGGGCTTTTTGTGAGTCCAAGACACGGGGCTGCTGTGATGCAGGTCCTGCACCGCTTCTGGAGTGGCTGAAGGCTGCAGGCACCCACGGAACAAGCACAGGCTGGGCAGGGACCAGCGGGGCTGGCACCAAGGGCATCCCCCGAGGTAAGGAACCTGCACCCCCTCTCCTGGCTTCCCTCCACCTCCCGCTGGGATCAGCTCAGGACAGCCCACTCCTGCGCCCCTCCATTATCTAGCTGTCCCTTCCCTCCTCTTCCTCCCTGTGCAGCCTGCTGTGCCCGGAGCTTCTGCTCAGCTTTGCTGGAAACAGCAGAACCTCTCCACAGCCCAAGGGCACGGCCCCCGCCCCAGCACATCGAAATGCTTCCTGGAGCTCCTCTCCATAATGAAGTTAGAAGGACATCATCATCCTGCCAGGCTCCCTCCACCCCCAAAGATCAATAACTAATGCTGAACTCCAGATTTTATCTGCACTTTGCAAGGGTAACAAAATAACACCACCCTCTTTTTCTTCCCTTTCTTTCCAATTACTGAATCCTTTCAAGATTGACCCAGTAATTTTCAGCTCTATGAAATTTTAAGCAGTGAAGAAAGTGACAGAAGTGATCTGCCAGAATGTTGGGAGAACTTTTCTGTGTGTTTTTTAGAAGACTGCAGGAATACAGGAGTACTGAAATAGAGGAACACCAGACTTCCTTTCCAAAAAAACAAAAGGGCACCTAAACAAGCTGACCCAGGGATATTTGTTTATCAAGTGCGGGTTCTTTGTGTGCCCACTGTCACAGCAGAGGAACCCTTGGAAGGAGACATCCCAGTGATTCTAGGGATTGTCTTGCCTACAATACACCAAAAAATAACCACTCCAATTAAACACAGATTTTGTAGCCTGCCTTTAATATGGCTACACAGATCAGCATGAAATGCAAGAGCTGAGTCTTATTTTCCTTAGAGAACATCCAGAAATAGCTGGACATTAAAATACTCCTGCAGAGGCACAGCATGACTGGCCTGATGGCATTTTTAAGGTTATAGAATCATTAAGGTTGGAAAAGACCTCCAAGATCAAGTCCACCACGGAGACTAAGTGCTCCATGCCAGGCATGAAGTTTTGTTTTGGGTGGGGTTTTCCAGCCAGGATGAGCAGTTTTGAAAACCCCTCTTCCTCTGCCTGCTTCAATCCCTGCACTTCCACCAAGCAGGGCTGGTGCAGGTGAGTTACACACTCCCCAAATACACACACAGGAGCAACACACACATGCCAGAATTATGTCAACAAACCCTCTCAATTTTCCTGCAAGGAAATTTATCTCACCTTCTAGCAGTAGGGAGTGAATTTTAATCCTTTTCCCTTCCGTGCCCACGATGATTATTCCAGGCAGAGACTAACGACAGCAAACCACAACGGATATTTTATCTGCCATTTCTCTTTCCCGTGGCTAATTTGAAGATACAGATTGCAACCCACAAGTGGTTCTAAGAATTGCCATTAACGCTGTTGCTGCACACTACTGCATTTTAAACATGCTTCCAACACAATCAAGAGTGTCACAATTTGTAAAATCTGGGGTGATTCTATCGGCGGCTGAGGCAGCAGAACTCACTTCATCACCAGAGCCCCGAGCCAGTTCATTAGGCTGATTAGCACTAGCTACCTGTGCAGAACAGGAAAAAATGCCACAAAAGGCTGGATAAATTCAAGTGTGAAGATGAAGAGGACTCTTACTCTGCCTTTTGTACTTGATTTTTCCTCCCACCTGTGCTTGGCAGGGCAAGGGCCTGGAGCTCAGCCCTCTCTGTCCTTTGGCAGCTGTGCAGCCCCTCAGCACCGGCCAGGCTTCCCTGCTCACAGGAATTTTGGCTAATCCCAGCAAACAAGCAGCACTGCCCTTCACCTAGCAATGGGTAAGCCTGTTCCCCGGGATACAGGCTCCCAAACAGAGCTGAGTCTCCTGAGTGCCAGAGAACTCCTTTCTTTGCCAGGAGAGCGACTCCAGCCCTACGTGTCTCCAGAGTGACAGACCCAGGAGCACAGGGGAGTTGTGGGGTAACATCACCTCTACCCAGTGGCATTTGGAGCCTGTTTTTGGTCCTTAGGGGCTTCTAGTTCCTCCCCACTTAGATCTCATCCAGGAGCTTACATTAGGATGCTAATGCAGAGCAAAATGTCATGGCTTGCATGTAGGAAAAACAAGCTATTAAAAAAATTAGCCAATGAAATAAATGCACAGAATTCCCAGCGGGGGGAAAAAAAGGATGACCTGTTGCCTGTCATCTTCAACACACAAAGTGGGAAAAAAGCTCTTTATGGAAAACCCAAAAGGCTTCATGGCAACTCAGGTGCCCCCCAGACCTGCAGCCCTCATCTTCAGCAGACCTTTACTCCTGGTAAGTCAGTGGAAAGATGTTTCTGGACAAGGAGTGCATCCTGCGGGGCTCATTACCCAGGCTCAAAGCTGCAGGTCCCTGGCACGCTGCTGCAGCCTCCCCAAAGAGCACAGAAATGCTGAAGCAGGGCTGCTGGAGCAGAGCTCAGCACTCGCAGAGCACACACACCAACACTCGCTGTGCCCGCCCGCCCGGGGAAGTGCTTACAGCAGCACGGAGCAGGACAGAGCAGGACAGAGCAGGGGTCACCTTGGCAGCACCAGGCAAGCATCCTGCAGGAAGCACAGCAAGGGCTCACACACCTCTGCTCTGCTCAGGAGCTGAGCCCACAGTGAGCTTGCTGGGCAGACAGAGCTCACAGCCAGCTGGGAGCCCAGCCCCGGGATTTGGGACATTTCAGCAACTGGAGGCCACCTCCACCTTGTCAGAGGTCAAATCTGCTGAGTACCTGCCTTGCTGGGACCAGAGTCCCCCAGCTCTCCTTGCCCCCAGACCACAGCACCAAAGCTCCACACCAGGCAGCTTTTAAATGCAACAAACAACGTGCTGAGATCCTGAATGGAGAGGAGTATCTACAGCCCACTTAAGGGTGACTGCATGGAGAAGGGTGGGAAATTCCCTGGGTATAAAAGGAAGTTGTCACGGGTTGAACTTTTCAACCTAAGTAAGAGCTTTGAACAGGTCCCTGTTACAAAAGGAAGGGCACTGGCTGTTCACACACCCCTCATCTTCCTGAGCAAGTCTTTTGCTGCTGCTGCTGAACTTTCCAGGGTACTGCAATCCCTGACTTGGGTCATTAGACTGGCCAGGAAAGTCACTGCTAACAAGAAAATCCAAGTGCATGGGGCATTCTGTGCCAACCAGCCCCTCCTCTGCCACCTGCAGCACAGAGGATTCAGTGCCACGGACTCAGCCACTGGCTCATCTCGCTGGGTCTGGTTTTTGCTCCCCCATGCAGAAGCTGCCACACACTGAGAGGTCAGAGCTCCCAGTCCCTCTTACCTCTATGCCTGTTGGTCGTCTTGTCAAACATTAGCATGGCATCCTCTACCTGCAAGACAAAGAGGGAGAGTTTGCTTTAACACATGCTGGCAACTCAGACACACCAGGGAGGGGACACGGGCAGGGCAGCCTGCATGCAGCAGAACTGCCTGGTTTTGGCCAGAGGCAGCTTCTCCTCTTGGAAACCTGCTGCTTTCCTCCTCCCTGCCCTGGCTGACAGCTGATCCTGAAGCAGAAAAGTGACCACTGAAAGTGTTGGCCCTAAAGAGCCAAATATCTCAGCAGCTCTTCCACTCCAGATCAATCCCTGGCCATGCCTCATCTCCCTTTTCTGGGGAGACCAGGAAGGGCCAAGGAGGAAGTGGGGATGCAAATCCAGCCCATGACTTCTCCAAATTTAGAGTCACTGTCTTGGTTGAGAATTAGGTTAAAAGAGGTATGAGCAGGGTAAAACCTGGTCAGCCAAGAAAGATATTCAGAGGTTTTCAAAAGGGCTTTTGAAAAGCTGGAGGAAAGTGGGGAGAGGGAGGAGGGAGAAACTTTAATTCGCATCAGGCTCGGCATTTCCACTTCAGAAGAGAGATGACTGATGAAACCTATTGAAGTGCAACCAAATTGCTTTCAACTTCCATTAGGATTTGCATGATTTATTCCACCTCCATTTAATCTGTGCAGCCACACCTAAAATTTTGCACTTATTGCCCAGGGATGTTGTGCTGGGGTTGATTCCCCAGCATCATCCCACCTTGAGCTTCTGTTCTGAGGCTGCAGGAGAGGGGCAGGTGAGGCCCATGTGCCACTGGACATGGCCTGGGCAAGCTCTGAGATGAAATTACAGACTTGCAATTCCCTGTTGTGAACTCAGGGATGATGAAAGCCTCTAATACTGAATTACAGAAGGTGTTGCAGGAAGGAAGAACTTTAAAGAAAAAGTTTCATCCTCTAAAGGACTCCACTGCTTTTCTGGAATGTTGCTTTGGGATTTTTTTATTTGTTTGTTTGAAGTTTTTGGATTCTTTTCCCCACCAGTAATTTTTCTGTACTTCCTTGGGCTTGTACTCTGGTTTTCTATAAATCATTTATTTTAGCTAAGTGATTTACAATGCAGTTACATGCTCTCCTCATCTCACACAGTGCCACTAAAGGGTCCTCCTGTCCTCCCAAATGACCTCTTAGGCAACAGACAGACATCCAGCCTATGGCTGTGAAAAATTTCTCAGCCTTGGCTTGGGAGAAAGTGTTTGGGGAGGTGGTGAAAACACAAGTTGAACCTCCCTGAGGTTCTGAAGGACTGTAATATGTTCCAGAAGATTGTAAAAAATAATATAGTGCAGCAAAACCTTACGTGATGCCTGAAATTCATCTGAAAACCTGTCTCTGCTTAAGTTCTTGAGTTTTTTAGTCAAAATGGTTTGCAGAAAGTGCTAGCAATGGCCTGAGAGGGTGCAGAACTGCAGGTCTCCTGATACCCATCTTGACTGAGACCTAAAGACGCTGATGCACTGAAAAACCCAAACTGCATTAAGCACGGAGCCTGTCCTGCTGTCTGTCCTCCCTCCAAGGGGGAAAACTCACCAGGATGAGCAATACCAGGAGGCAGATAAGGACCAGGCTGCCCTTCACCCTGCATGCTGCTTATCTCTGCTCCAGGGTTATGTTTGCTCAGCAATCTTTATTTTTCATTCTCACAGGTCCTGGCCTCACTAGAACCAAAAATTACACATTGCACCCGCTGCTGTTTCCTGGGGCATAGCAGCTCCCGGTGCCACCCTCTGTCCCCACTCAAGCCCTGCTGCTAAAGGTTTAATACAGAACTTTTCTCCCTCCAGCCCCATCCCAGGGCCCCGAGAGCTCCTGGATGCACAGGAGCACAGAGCCAGCAGCCCAGGGAGGTCCCCGGTGCCCCCAGGTGAGTGCAGGCTCTCCAGGCAGGACCCACACTGTCCTGCCAAAATGACACCTGCTCCTGCAAGGACATTACTGGGGACTCCACACAGGGAGAGATGCTGCAGCATGGCCATGTCTCAGCCTCTGCTGGCAGCAGCAGAACCTCCTGTGCAGCCTCCCTGTGCTCCTCCAGGGGCTGCCAGGGCAGAGGAGGGGCTGGGCTGGCACCAGAGCCAGCACTGCAGGGCTGAGGGGCTCTGGGTGCAGCCCCTGCTCACACTGGGCTCTGCAGTCCCCTTCCCTTCTCCCACCTGTCCAACACAACCCCATCCTCTGGGCAAACGGGGCTCTGCGCCATGTGTACCAAGCTGGAATGATGATCTTGGCAGGGATCTTTTTTATGCAAATAAATCCCTATTAGCAGTAACAAGCACAGGCTGCAGGGCTAATCCAGGAGGGAGGTTTCCTGGGGCCCCAGGAGCACAGGCACCCTGGAGCAGGCACTGCCCCCCTCCTACATCCCAACTGCTGGGATCAGAGCCCAGCAGCAGCTCCCTGGAAAAGGGTCAGCCCTGACAGTCCACATATGAAACCTGCACGGGGGGAGCGTCTCTGCAGCTGAGTTCAGACGTGGCCCAAGTATGCCTTGAAGAAAAAATTATCAGTGGGGTGTTCTTTGAGCCAGCTGGTGCCCTTTCAACAATGTCTAATTGGTTATCTTTTCTCTTTCCTAAGGTCAGAACATTTTATCTCCGTCTCTGCCCTTTCTGTGCTTACCCCACCCCGCGTTATTTTTTAGGGCAGCCATTGTAGCAGAAGAATAGCCTCTTTCCTCCATAGTCCAGTGACACAATGAGACTTCTTGAAACCTCCTGAATAGATAAAGTGCAGTGGCAAAAGGAAAATTCTATTAACGCTTTGCAAAATAAAACATCTAAGAGCTGGTGAGACAAGCAGGAGAAGAAAATCAATATGGAGAGGGCAGCACGCTCAGAAAAACTTTTCACCAGTTGCAAAAAGGTGGCGAGGGTATGGGAGGGAGGGGGGAGAGAAACTTATTAATGCAGAAAACCCATCAATGGTATGGAAATCTGGCAGAACAGCAAGAACTCAAACTAGAAGAATTTGAATATACAAAGGGCTGAATAGAATGAGCAAACCACAGTGCCTCACACACACAGCCCGTTTCTCACGGTTCTCTGTGAAGCAAACACAAGCGGCTTGTTCAAGTTTTCATCAAGGAGAAATAAGGGACACAGTCAAGGTAACCGGCAGTAAACCCTGCAGTAAGCAAATTGATCCCTATTCCAGGGGAAGGGAAAAATCCCAACCCACAGCAGAAACTCAAGTACATCCAGGGGCTGTGGCTGCCTAAGTTAACCCCCTCCTCCAGCCCCTTGCTCGCCCAGCGTTTTAAAGGTGCTCAACCCCAACTTTTCCAGGTCTCAGCTCAAAGCACACAGCTCATACTTTGCATACAAGAGGCAAGGAAGGTTTTTCCAGGGTTAGAAGCAGGACTGGAAGATGGAATTGCCACTTGCAAGGCCTGGCCAGAGCCCAGCCCCCAGCGAAGGCCTGGATGCCCCAGCACAGGACGGGGAGGCTGAGCCACGTCTCCCCAGGGCACGGACACCAGCAGGAAACCCACACCCCAACCTCCTCAGATGGAGCACAGGGGCTTAAAGGAGCTGATTAATGAGGCTTCATTCTCAGCACCAAGTCAGAGTTACAAAATGAACAGTCTCAGGACTCAGGGTAACTAAAAAAAAGAAGAAAACAAAGAATTGCCACTGAACGCTGGTTACAAATGGACACTAAAGGCCCCCAGACTCCTCTGTCCCAGCACAGCCCATCCATACAGCCAATGCAGACCCAGCTTCTTACATAAAGACTAACTAATGGGCTTCAGTTTATTTAACTTCTTTTTTTTCCAATCCACTTGGGGCTCTGAGAAAAGGAAGGGCTCTACCACTTCATTACTCACTGCCTGGAAGGAGGAATAGGGGAGAATAGAGGAAAGAAAAAAAACCTGGAGGAGCCAAAGGCTTTAATAATCCTAACAGTTCCCAGGGTTATTTAAAATATGCCCAACCAGTTCACAAAAGGCTCCACGGAGATAAATGTATTTGATTTTCTTCCACTTTAATGGAGGCATACATTTAAAGCAACAAAACCAGGGTGACCTAAATAAAATGACTATTAATTGTACTCAGAAAGTCTCTGAATTTAATGCAAGTGATCTAGCCCAGCACAAGAACACACAGTATTCTCCAGTTATTCCTCCCACTTTTCTCTTTGGGATTTTCAACTCCTCTTTTCCATGAGGCAGCAGGAGCTGATCATACCAGCACAGCCCCAAGTCACTCACACTGTAACCAACAGGCTGAGTGCCCTCCAAAAGCCAGCAGTGGTTCCAGAAGAATCTGCAGGGTGCTGCTGCAGAAACTGGAGCACTGTGCTGCCACTGAAAGCAGAAGGACAAAACCATTTTTTAAATGGAAAACTTTAAGCCTCATCCTGTATCTCTCCAACCACACAATGCCAGCATGGACACCGACCCAAGAGGTGCCCATGGACCCTCCTTCCTTCTTGTGCAAGGTGCCTGTGTGCACAGGAGCAACACCCACCACTGCACACCTGCTCTGGCTCTTCCATTGGAGTCAAGTTCACTCACCGAGTAAAACTTCCACAGTGACACCACCATAACTACACTGAAGGGACACCCAGCAGCCTCTGTGCCTCCTCATCCAGCCCAGGAAGGCTTTTCCTGATCCAAACCCTGAGTGTCCAACACATCCAGAGCAGGTTGAGGTGTTCCTTGCACCCCAAAAGTGCCCCCTGGGCTGGAGGGGTTGTTTTCCACGCTCCCAAGCAGATCTGGCACTATGTTCTCCATCCCTTCAAGGTAAAGAAGAATTAGGGCAGACAAATGGATTTACACCTGGAACGGATCACGGTGGCAATTCCAGCTGGGTCTGGGGAGGGAAGGAATTACTTAAGGACAATTTTCAGCCCCACACAATTTGGTTGTGCCTCTCCTCCCTCCATCCCCGACTCGTGAACTTTACAGGTCTATCACCTCTTCTGCTCTTCCAAGAAAAGTGTGCTGGATATTCTGCTCTAATTCCTCAAATTATTTATCCACACCACACAACTCCTCCA